GTTTTCATTCCTTACTATGGAAATACCATTAGTTCATTCCTCTGTTTACCACAGACACATGGGTATCTAGTTGTACTCTACACTGGAAAACGAGCACTTGTTTTACATGCTCATTGCACATGAGTTGACCAATGGTACAATCTGCCCAGAATATGGTGCATTCCTAAGGTATCTGAATAATTTAAAAAAAAAACAATAAAACTTAAACACAACCCTGTAAAGTTTTCACAGTTAACATACATAAACATCAAAAACTACACAGGGTGTCGTTTAAAATTTTACCTAAAGAAAAAGCTGACTGTTACTGAAGAGACACACACACTAGTAGGGGTTTGGAGAGTGGAGAGCAGCGCTGTGAGGCTGCTCAGAAGCATCGAAGAGGGACGTACAGTCAGCCTCTCAACCAATTAACTACTCTGTCAGTGTGGTGGTTTCTTAAACAAAAACGACATAACAGGTCGACAGGAAAACGTGTAGTGATGCTGATGGAAACGGCAGGATACAGTCCCGGTCAGGGCAATGACTTATCACAAAAGTATGTATTAAACAACTGGAGAAACACCAAAGAAGCTTCGACACAGAATTGACGGCAGCTCCTCCTGATCATGCTTCAGCCTTAGAGACGTTTTCTGGGACACACATAACAAAAAACCCAAAGTTGTCTTAATGACAAATTTCTTTCAACATGAGCTGAAGCACTGAAAGCTGTTCCAATTACTCATCTCAGCTCAAATTGCTTAAAAAAAAAAGAATCCATCTAACTCCTGGACGTATAGTTTCATTCTTTTTTAACCAGAAATGACAAATTCATCAGTACGTATTAGTGGAAATACACCTCGTGTGTACTCTTCTTATACATTTTTACTTTGGCATGTGTGTCTTGACAACCATACTTTCATGTTCATCATGATTCAACCTGCAAAACTGACAACGCTCCATTTCCTCCTCTCTTCTGTTCTGAGTTTGCACTGAGAAAAAAAACTGAGTGGGTAAAAAGAAAAAAAAAAAAGCTTTAATTTTCTCCAGTGACACAGCTCATGCCAAACGCTCCAGTGTACAAACATGTCTCAGTTAAATGACAGAAACATAACGAGGAATGTTCATGGTGTTATAACGGGACTCTTTCAAAACCAGGTGACAAAGTATTACTCGGATCGATGCTGTGATAGTGACCAAAGTGTTTTATCCTTAGTGCACACTCTTAAAACAAAATCCAAAACTTATACTTTCTCTTTTTTTTTTTTTTTTTTTCCAAAGTGTTTTATCCTTAGTGCACACTCTTAAAACAAAATCCAAAACTTATACTTTCTCTCTCTTTTTTTTTTTACAAAAAAAAAAATCTGTTATAAGGATTTTTGAGGGTAAATTCCCAACTAAGAAATGTCCCCAATTGTTCTCTTTTCTCTTGCTTTACTGGGTCGTCCAGTGTCCTTGCCTACAGGATTATACTACTTAAAGTCTTTGCATTACCGCAAGCTATTGCTTTAAAACTGTTTAAATCAACCCTAATGCACAACTTGTGGTGGAGTGTTGGAGCTGTGAGGTGGTGACGATGCCACATGTAGTGCCACATTTCATACTCTCCACTGGCCTCATGGTGATGACACACACAGATTTGGAGCTGGGTTACACAACAGGACGCTACCAGAACCAACTGTACCAAGTACTTGGAGCCAACTCACCTCATGTCACCTGTCGGGCTGAGGGTCGACAGTTTACTTGAAAATGCTACATAAAAATAAATATGGTGTATTTTACATTTCAGCTGCAGTTTTTAAAAAAAATTGTTTTGCCCAATAAATGTGTACATTTGAAAAGCTTTGTATTGTATGTGTGAACCTGCCATCAGAGTAACAAAGAGGATAATTCAAACGTGAACCTTATATCACTGTCCACAGAAAACTCTAAATGTTTGTCGTTTTCTTTGCAAAAAAGAGGGAAGCTTCGAGGTTGGCCCGTCCACACAGCACCGGTGACGCCGTCTGACTTCTAGAAGTCGGGTGAGTAAGGTGCATGAGGCAACAGTTCAAAGTCACATTTGGCTGCTTCTGCCACCGGTGCTGTGTGGACGGAAGCTTTGTCCTGCAACTCCGACTCTAAGATTTCCTCTCCTTTTTTTTTTTTTGATTACTTCCAACCATCTGACTTGTTGTGGACGAGGACAAAAGGCTTTACAGTATACAGTTATGACCCAAAATGGGAATTACAGGTGAGGTCAAGAACTTTTTGAAGTACCCTCGAATAACATGTTAAATCGACTACAGGAAAGACTGAACATACTCGCCAATTAAAAGAAACAAATATGTGCATATATTGGCATTGGCCAAAGTAAGACGGAAAACATCGGCCTATCAGATATCACATATCAACATTGTCCATCCCTCACTTTAAGATTTACAGTGGATTTAAACTACACTCGAGATAGCAAACTGTAACTATCACTAGTGCAAATGTAAACACTAATAACTGTTTTGAACCTTGGCGGATTTCCTGTGAAATTCAAACATCTCCCAACATTTTCCACCAAAACTTCAGAGAACCGTCGTTGCACTCTGCTCAAGTGTGACACCAAGAGGACTAGTGCAGTATCATTCTGTAAAACGGGTGATCGGTGAAAACACTTAGCACGGCCGAAGCACGCAGACAGAAACAAGGGAAACAGATGGACCGAGTGTAGAAATACATGTAGTACAATGGAGGTTGTCTGGTTTTTAACTGGATTTTGGATGCTGCTGGGAAAACAGCAGCCCAGCTGCTTGCCACTGTCCCCGCCGTCAGTCTCTGTGAGCTACAGGCTGTAAGCCAGCTGCAGGGTTTTATCTCGGGGCTAGCTGTCACGGCAGACAACACACACCCATCAGGTCTGACCTGCTATAGTGCTTTAAGTCCGTTAGGTCCAGCCCCTGACACTAGTTGACACGGATGCCTGAGATGAAGGGCAGCCCGGTGGGAACCTTCTTCTTGTACTCCACATAGTCCTCAGCAAAGAAATGGATGAGGGAAAGCTCCTCCTCCTCTATCCGCTCCCGGAAGAACCGCCAACTGGCTATCGTGTACCCCAGTATACACACTGGGTTGCACAGCATGACCTGCAGCAGCAAAGAGTCTCATCAGCAAACAAAACAACACCCAGGAAATCTCTCTTCACAAGCACATAGAGGAAGACAGCAAAATGTTGTTTTTTGTTCTATACAAATAAAGTTAATTGTTGTGATCATACAAATGTACTCCAAGCTGTCATTTGACAAAAAACCCCAAAAAGGAACCGACTGTCAGTCTGGTCGTATTTGGCAGGAATCCCTAATATCACTACTGAGTAACAACATAATGACAGACATGAATGAGCTGAGCATGGGTTTAAGCAGCACAGTTGTAGCTCACCTGCGTTCCTATGCTCCAGTAGAACCAGCCCACATAGGAGGGGTGTCGGAAGTAGGAGTAGACCCCACTGGTGACCAGCACGTGGCTCTGGGCCTTCTCATTCTGGACGATGTGGTTGAAGTTGGAGCCGGCTGTCAACATGGCCGCCTTGCGCAGGCCCTCCCCACACAGCACCATGAGGAGACCCAAGAAGCTCAACCAGTTCAGCTGCTTTAGCTCTGAGAGAGAGAGAGACGACAGGCTGATACTGAAGCCACAGAAAGTCAAGCAAAGTACAGAAACACATGATTCTGGACAATTTATAGCATGCACGTTATAACTAGGCTAATTCGAACCTATGAACAGATGCTGGACCTGGCTCCCTGTCTGCAGGAAAATGGGAAGGCAGAAGGGTGTCCAGAGGTGAGGTGCATCACGTAGAATATTTATAAAATAGAAATATTTTATTGAGCCCCTTTACCTGACAGCATCTAAATGTGCTGGATTCATTATCTGAATAAGGGTCCTGGTCACTTCACTGTTAAAGCTGCAACAACAATTTTACTATTCCAGACCACGTAACGTTTCTGTAACGATTTTAACACTTCTGAACTGCATGCAGTCACATTAACATATAGCTGTGCACAACAGGCATACTTTGAGTTGTGTAAAGCGAACTGGAAAAGGCCTTTCTCACATTTCAGTCCAAATATTAAAACAAAAACAGAGACCAAAGACACCTTGAGCCACACATCCATTGTCTTCCATTATCATAAACCCTTCTCGTCCACTCTGCCCTACAACATCTATTACAAACTGACATGTAAATAAATACACAACTTTGCAACAGTGAGGAAAGACCCTGTAACACGTCGGATTAACAAAACTAATCAATAATACATGTAGTCCAGGTTTTGACACATTAACAGGAGCTGAAGTTTACTATCTTTCCTCTGAGTTTATTAAATGTTTAGTTAAATACCACAATGAGACATGAGTTCATGCATTTACACGTGGTGCAGCAATAAATTACTACAAAGTTGGCGCCTTTGCAGCCTGATGACTAACCCTGACCTTTAAGTTCCTCTCCTTCTCAGTGTTTCCTGTCTGTCTTTTGATGCCAGTATCGCTAAAATCATTACGGAGAGATACAGGAATTCCTTCCTGCCAACAGCCATCACCTTAAAAAACAAATCCGACTGACTGAATGATTATTATTGTTGTATATAATATATGTTATATTGATTTAAAAAAAAAAAAAAAAGTGAGCTTTTACAAGATTGAATTTCCCTTCTGGGATAAATAAAGTATTTTTCATTTCATTTCATTTCATTACAAATATTTATCAAAAACTTTCTACAATACAACCATACTTGGGGGCGGATTGTATGAGATGCTTTTAAACTGAATGCTGATGAGTAGTTGATGAGCTCGCTGCACTCAGCCAAAGATGATTAGGGAGGGATGTCCACTGGATCAAGTAGCTCATGAAGTACAAGTTGTAAGCTAATGCCAGATACATAATCAATACTTCATATCTTCTGTTGCTTATCTTATGTCCAGGCTGAGTCATTTGTAAATCAATTGGATGGTCAACATAAGCCAATATGTCATCTTCTCTGTCTGTGGAGGCGATTGTAGATCTAAATGGAAAGTTAGTTTTGGTCATTTTTTAACTTGGGGTTCCTGCATATGCTAAAAGCTAAAGCTAATAAAGGTTTGGGTCTGATTATGTGCAATCAAAACTGAAAAACTTTGCTTGCAAATAAGCACACAACCACACCATTGTCATCTCCTACCTATTCTGAGATTTTTAAATTGGTACAAAGAGACCTCACCTTTTCCAAGCAAAGCCAACTTTCAAATTAGTGAAAACAGCACAGACAATAACACAGATACAGAACCAAGAGAATGGGTGTGATGAAGTGGAAGCAGCACAAACCACCTGTAATTGAGATTTTTTGTTAAACATGGGGAGCAGCAGGTTTTCTCATAGAGGACTTGGTGGCAACTAGAACTTGAATTTCACACAGACTCACCATTTACCCATTAACTCATTCACACTCTGTACATTCAGTCTGATGTGTACTTCACCACGAGTTACACTGGAACACTGATGGGCAAACCCTTTGGTAGCAGCTTTAAGCGGACGGAGAGCAGGCGTGGAGTCAGCGACCAACCTGGAAGTGTCAGCTTTTCAATGGTGAACTCCACCCATGATGAGACGGCAGCCAGGGTGTACTCCACGCTGTGGTTGAGCAGGAACGAGTCCAGCGACAGACTGCGAGGGTTGATGACGGCCGTGACCAGGTATTCGGAGTAATGGAAGAACGACAGGGAGCACATGTACCTGCAGGGAGGGAGTCATTGCATCACGACTGCATGTGTTAAAGTTGCAACAGGTTACAACATACACATCCTGCTGTCAAACTACGGCACACGGCCTGGTTCACTGTGCATCTCTGTAAAGGTTCACAGCATTAAAAAAAATGGATTTAATGGTGATACAGTGAAATGTACTTATTTCAATAATCATACTGAATTAACAATAAAATGTTCTATCAATTTCTACACAGCAACATCATGACTGGTGTCAAGTAATGTACATACCACCCAAAGTGTGTCCAAGTGGTTTCAGAGAAGCTTATAATTAAGCCACAGCCAAAAGTGACTCCCAGAAAGCAGGCTCTCACAGCGACCTAGGACGAGCCAGGATACTCTGGTTAACCCGGGCCACACAAGCCAACAGCAACCCCCCCCCCGCAAAGTTTTACTAGCCAGTATTCTATTCACAGTTTTGTTTAGTGACTCCAAATTAGTGTTGGCTATTCTGGTCAGCATTACCCCAAGTCACGTTACAGAAGCTAATTACATTCGACATAAACAGAGAATGAATTCATGTTTTGGGTCACATTAAGTCCTCGGTACACATTCAAAAGGACCTGTCAGTGCTATTCTCTCGAACTAAATTCAACATTTCAAGTCTGAAGCGGCGACTAAGCCACTGCAGCTTTACCTGGCTTACGTTTCCATCTTTAGCCAGCTGTCCCGTTGCTCTTTGGCTAATCAGATTAACTAAACTGGTAGCTAGTGACAGCTAAGCTAGGTGAGTTAGCCAGCATTAGCAGGGCGACATTAACATTTAAATGGACAAGTTACGTCAGACACTGGCTCGAGGTAGATGAACCGCTTTACAGCTGACGACCGTTAAAATGCAGTTGTATATATTTTACACTATAACATTTATAAGTTAGCTACCCAACGGAAATGCTTACCTTGTACAGAGGTCCCCTGTATATGATTAGCAAGAGGCCGTTGACAACTGCAATGTGGACGCAAACGGCTATTTTCCCGGGCGTCTCCGTCAGATAGTCAAACACCCAGTCGAGATGTCCAAACCAGGTTCTGATCAGGGGGATTACAAGAACGCTGAGGCCTAAAATAAAGCTTTTTATACTTACTCTACCTTCCAGCACCAACTTACTGCCTGCCATGATGGAAGTAATGTGCTCAGCTGTGCTAAGCGAACTATCGCGATAACTGAGTGACAACGACAAGAGCCACTTCCGGTTTCACAATTGGCAGACGCCAAAACAGGACTTATTTTGGTTTGCATGTGTAACCTGGTCAGTGGTGCAGCAGCGGTTGTGAATTTAATATATATGTATTGTTATGTTGGTGATGCCCGATGTACCATTTATATATTTTAATTTATTGCTATTTTATTGTTGTTATTTTGATTGCTATAATTGCACAAAATCTGTTCTGCCCCTCAGTTATTGTGTGGAACCTTCACTGGGGGGTCCCAGTACCCCACCTACGCTTTTGGCCGCCCATGCTGTCATATAAATGGGTTTTCCCGCCTTACCTCTGCCCTTTTGTTCATGTATTCGGTGGGAGAGGAGTACAAGTTTTGGGAACTGACAGCAGATGTGGTCTTTGTTTTTTTGTTGTCTGTTAAGTTGAAATAAACAGAGATCGCCTCCAAAAAGATCCATGCTTCGGCTGATATTACACAACGCAGTAGAAAATCCACCGGTTACACATGGACGATTTGAGTACATGAGAACATGTTCAAGGTTTCATCAAATTCCATGAAAGAACTTACTTTTTGTTCAGACATGTTTTTCTTTCGGTTTAACGTTGATCAAACCGAGCGAATAAAACAAATGCGTAAACATAAGTAAGTAACAGACAGCAGTTTGAAGAACAGGCCCTCGTGTACAAATCTGCAGGACGTGCTTAAACCTATACAGAATTGATGGAGATGCAACAGAACAGAACAACGAGCCATGTGGCAAATTTATACATTTAATTATTTAAAAAACATTATTTTACATGTCCATACTAATATTTCCTGCTCTCACCATGTGCCTCTCTGGAGCCCCTTGTTCCAGAAGTCAGATTTAATTACTGATCAGCCCTTGTTCAACGTCGACTGTTTTTTTCTGATAGAAAAACGGGATCGTGTTGCTTTTGAGATCGACACTATTTCTCGTCCCTCCAAACAACAGCAAATCCGTCGTCAGTGTCCAGACATAGTTCATCTTCTTTGGCTGCTTGAGAAAAAACTGGAAATCTTGCTTTGTGTCTTCAAAGGAGATGATGGCAAAGCTAAAAAAGAAAAGCAAAAAAACATTCAGAAACAGTTATAAGGTCTCATAGGTGGCAGATGTCTTGTTATGTTAAATATAAAATGGGCTGTTTTGGGGCAGAAATAATACAATCGTCATGTTGTTGTTCTGTGTTGAGAATCTGCAATATGACTTTGTGTTGTTGTTGTAAAAGTACCACTTTCGCTGCCTGGTCTAAAACAGCGGTTTCAGACTAGAACAGTCTGACCAGTCAATAGTCTAGAACCTGTTGTTTCAGTGATTTATCCCAAATGTGAATTAATCCACTACTGGAAAGCATTATTTGCATCTGTTTGAATAACTTTTGTTGAAACTACAGCAGGCAGCTATTGTTTAGAAAATTATTGGAACTTTAAAAAAACATGCTATGTACTTGTTAAATGTTATTTAATCTAATTCTTCGGCAGAAATCAGTGGGCTTAGAGTACCTCTGGCCATTTTCACACTAAAACAGCCGCTGACTGGGAAAAAAAAACTGTGCTACTTAAGCATCTTCTTCATCACATTTGTGACCATATGATCTATGACCCCATGTTTTTTTTTTTGTTGTTGTTGTTGTTGGAACATCTAAAAAGACTGCGTATTTCATTCTTTGGAGCAGACCTAAGTTTTCTTTACTGGTCAACCCAAACTAAACTTTATCAAAGTTATGTACTTTCTTGTTCTATTAGTCATCTTTGTGTCTAATGAGACACTAAAACGCCGACGGTTTTGATTATTTCGTGAAATTTGCTGACGATAAAATCTCAACTGCCCCGACAATGCTGATCACCTCCGCCGCTGACAACATTGTGAACCTTACGTCTCCTGAAATGCTGCAGCGACTAGAACTAACCAGGATTCTTTGCTGTCTTCACAATCATGAGCTGTTCTTTATGTGCTCCTGTCTGAATAAACTTTATTATAACCCTTATTGGCTGTTTCACAACGTTGGAATTGTTGCTCACAATGCTATAGTGAGAAGCTTGTGGAAGGAAACCCAAAACTTTTAACCAAAGTCGTACAGTTTAAAGGCGACGCGACCAGATACGAAGGAGATGGATGTAAACTTCTGACTTTGAAGAAAGGAATAAAAAAATTCTCTCTCTCATTATTCTGGCGTTTAGCAAATAGAAATCATTTTGGTAATCCTAACCGACCTAGAACAGGAAAAGTTTGATTTAATGTCAGTGAGAAATAAAAGGTTATGTGTCTTTTTATACAGTGGATATAAACTTGGGGTTTCAACTGTGCATCTGCTGGCTGGGCTACCAACAGGTCTGTTACAGATGTTAATGCTCTCTATTGTGATTCCTACTGATATCAGTGACCTCTGAGGTCTTCATACAAGGCAAAAAAACATGTTTCTAACACACTGGGTTGACATTCACCTTCCCGTTGCTGCTCTTCATCTACAGCGGGGACGTCTGCAGCGGAGACTGGCTGACCTATCAACGCGTCCAGCATCTCTTTGTACTGCTTCTTATGGTAAGGCCGAATAAACGTGGCGAACCCTTTGGGAAAGAAAGAAAAATCACTTCTTGTTCCAACATTTACACAGAGATTCTCAATGCATGTGGCGGTACGAGAGGACTTACTGATCAGAAGGTTGAAGTTCTCATCTCTCTCTGTGAATAAGCTCACCACCGTGGTCACCAGGTTTTCATAGTTGTCGGTCTTTTTGTAACACTGAATGGCCTGAAAGAGCTGGGCGGATTTTTCTGCTCCGAGGGCTTTTTTTATATCAGCCAGGAAGGTAGCGTGGAGTTCATTCTTCGGAGCAGAACCTGAACGAAACAGTTTACATCATGTTTAGCGATGATTCACATTTAAACTTGTAATACACCTTGTCTTGGTACGGTATCAACTGAACTATGTTTTCATTCAAACTAAATCTGGAAGATTTCCCCATTGAGTGCATGTTCACTTTAATTTGGTTTACAAAACAGAAAAAGATTCTTTCATGTCAAAGTGAAACACAGATTTCTAGATGTCAATTAAATAAAAATATAAAATAAGTGACTGTATATGCATTCATCCCCTTCAAGCCAGTATTCAGTAGATGCACCCATGTACGTATGTCTTAATAAGTCTTGCACGTCCGGACACTCTGATTTTACCCCATTTCTTTCTGCAAAACAGGTCAGGCCCTGTCAGGTTGCACAGGCATTGTGAGTTAACAGCCTCGGCCGCTCCAGAACATTCTCAGATGTAGTCGTTCTTAAACAATTTCTGTGCGGCTTTGGCTGAACGCTTCGGTTCACTGTCTTGCTGGATCCCAAGTCGCTGTTCTCTTGCAGGTTTTCCAGGATTTTTCCTATACTTTGCTGCATTTATTTTACCTGCTACCTTAACAACACTCCCACAAAGAATATTCACTGACTTGGAAATGTTCTTGTATCCATCCTGTGGGTTATGCTCTTCAATGACCGTTTCACAAAGGGGCTCAGAGTGCTGTTTCGTCTTCATGGTGTAGCTTATAGTCAGATTCACCGGACCTTCAATCACTGCCCTCACATGATCTCCGTTTATCTAATTGAGTGACTTGTGTTGAATTAGGTGAGTCACTTTAAAGGGTTAAAAAGTTATAAAGTCACCTATTTTTTATACTTTTATTTTGTGGAAAATGGTTTTTATTGATACTTTATGAGGAATCTACTAAATTTGCTGAAGCTGCTGATGAAATAAACTTTGAACGCATTCTTACAGTTTCGGTTCAGACACAAAATTTTTATTAAACTCAGACACTAACGAATATTTTGTTTTGTTTGCAAAGATTCTCATTTATAGCAATTTTCCAGTTAAAATGACTTTCTCTGTTACTGTGAGAACAAACTCGTTAGAAACAACCGACAATTATCAAAGCAGTTTAATTACTTAAACTGACTGATCCATTATTGACACGAAAGTCTTTCTTTTGTAATTTCTGGTTAAAAAAAACCAAACAAAAACAACAAATTAAACTGAACATAGGTCAGTATTAAAACGCAAGAAAAAGGAAAAACTTCCAAGCAGGTGAACATTTTTTTACAGGCACTACAATAGCAAGGTTGGTGGTTCAATCTCTGGCCCCTTCGCGTGCCGAAGTGTCCTTGGGCAAGACACTGAACCCAAACCTTCTCCTATTAGCTATCCACTATCGGCTTTGCCCCCATTAGTGTATAAGTGTGTTTGTGAATGAGTAGATGTGAAACACTGACAAGCAGAGTAGAAAATGTTATGCAAGTTAGGGCAGAGTGATATGGCCAAAAATATCTATCACGATATAAATCAGAAAATTTGCGATAATGATATAACTGATGACATAATTGACGCTGCCATGCTTCTCGCTCCATGTGCGTTAGACCGGATGGAAACAACGGCACTGCACATGCACGTTTCACTCAAAACTATATTTCAATGTCATATCATCCCCTAACATTACACCGGTATTACCGTGCACGGTATGACGTGGCAGAGCCCTAATGCAAGTAGCACAGACGAGTTAACGATTGCATGCTTGATATATTTTTTCACGTCTTCTGGAGAGATCTGGCAGAGGCTAAAGAATTGTTGAGGCGTCACAGGTAAAAGGATGGAATGTCTTACCAGCCTGAGGTTCTCTTAATCCCTGCTGGGTCAGGTGATGTCCTCCTTTGTTGAGCTGTTGTGTATTTAGTTGGCTACAGGCAGACGAGGAGCTCAGACCTACGGCCGGCTGTCTGTCTGCAGCTTTAAGAAAATGAAAACAACAGTCACTTTACGACCGTCAATCACTGAACACAAAAAGAGCACTGCAACTTTTGCCACATTCGTCTGAAAAGCAATGCAAAGAAGAATCACATCTGATCTAAATTCATTGATTAAGAATGACTCAAAAACACACATTTAAAGTGCAAAGAATGCGAGCGAGACGCTGACTCATAATTCCAAAGTTTTGGATAGAAATCCCGTCAATAGTTTGATACATGACCTTGTTGTCACCTTAAATTTGTTGTACAGGTTTCCGATTTATGTAAGTGTTCAACAAAAGTGTCAGCTAAGATTAGATTCAGCTTTTTATGAAGGTGGAAGAGGAATAGTGTGCTATTGTTTCAAAGTGACAGACAACAACAAAAAACTGTCTCTGCTGTCTCGTCATGTTAAAAAACTACCACAAAACTAGTTACACACATCATAAAATGACGGTTCTGCAGCACCACGGTGAACAACCTTCAGTCCAGTAACAACGGACAGTTTTCCTTCCATCTAATCTGTAAAATACAATCTGTTAGCAATGCGTCAGTGGCCCTGATGTCAACTGCAGTAATGGCCAATTTCGTGCAGAACAACAATGCTGCATCCGTTTTAGTCATTGTGGTACCAAACGGATGCTTCAGGGAATCTGCAGGCTTGGCAACATTCAAGAAATGACGGCAGGTCGTCTTTTAACAGCAGATACGGCCTGGTTCTGGTACAGAGGGACCTCCTGAAGCCCCAAACACTTTACATTGACATCAGTTAGAAAATCAACCACGTCCAGTTTTGACCATCAGTTGTTATGTGAACAAGTAAGCATTTTTCATTTGCTCCAACGTAAGATCTTCTGCTCTTTCCTGTTTTATGCCATTGTAACTGAAATAGTCATTGTTGCTGAAACATTTTTAAAAATCACAATTCCTTTAATTAACTTTTAAAAAAGGAGGATTAGTGCTCCATACCGCTTTTTGGCATCGCTGCCTTCTTCTCGTCCTTGCTCAGCGAGTGATCCGGTCGATACCCGCAGCCCTGTCCAGTCAGCTCCTGGCATTTCTCATCAAACGTCTTTTTGTGATGCGGGCGGACAAACTGGTAGAAGCCTATGAGAAGGTGGCCGCGTTAGAAGTCAACCACAAAGAATCCTTAACGTTTGAAGGGCTGCCGTCAGCGATTCTAAATAGTTCTGCTCCTCCATATGACGTTAGATTTTTTCCACAGAACAGAACCAACTAGTAAGAACACCGCGGCGATCATCAAACGGTCCCAGCAGAGACTGCAGCTCCTGAGGAGGCTGAAATAAGCCTCTCTCCCTGCCAACATCCTCAGGACTTTTTACAGAGATGTGGTGGAGAGCGTTCTGACACTGCATCTCAACACGGTACTCCAGCTGCAGTCTGTCAGACAGAAAAGCCCTGCAGAGGATAGTTAGAGGAGCTGAGAGGGTCATCAGAGTTTCCCTCACCTCTGTCCAAGAACTTTTCCAGAGCCGCTGCAGGAGCAGGACACTGAACATTGTCAGGGCCTCCTCACACCCTCTCCATGAACAGTTCATGGAGCTGCTGCCATCAGCCAAACGTGTCTGGAGCATTAAAGGAAGATCCTCCAGACTGATCAACAGCTTCATTCCACAAGCTGTCAGAATGCTGAACTGCTGATCCAGATATGCAAACACTTGTTTATTTAAATTGCTTTAAGTTATTGGATCCTGAAGAAACGCCCTCTCATCTTGCTGGTACTACTGGGTATGTACAGCAAAATGACAATAAACTTGATTTGATTTAGTGCTTCAAATGTGGTGCACATACAGCAGTATTCATGGCAGAGCTGTTGCATAGTGTTGTCATTTATTCACTTGGTGTATAGTAGCCTGGAAAAATACAGGATAGAGGATTTACCGCGGAGCAGACTGTGAGTGTTGGTGTCTTCCGTTAGGACGGCCGTCTCCGTCAGCAGCACGTCCAGGTTGTCGGTCTTCTTGTAGGTCTGCAGGGCCTGGACGATGCGGTCAAAGCTGACCTGGCTCAGTGACTTCTTCATGTCGGCCAGGAACTTCTTAGCCCTGGTGGCCTTACTTTCCTCAGACACCTCCTCTGAGATGCTTGGTTTCTTCGACGAGGACAGAGAAAAACACACACTGCTCACGCTCGGGGAACACTGAACATCTTCTAGCAGAAACAAACAATCTAAAGATATCCATGGCACCATCCACGAAAGGTGCTGAGGAAGCCTAAACATTCTTGTGGAGGTTTGTGTTGGTACGTCCCCTGTATTTGGCTTCTGCTGTTTTGCATGTTGGCTCAGTGGCTTACTGAAGCACTCGACACCGAGCCATTGTCAAATAAATTGTTCGACTTGTGCTTTTGCAAGATTGAAGAGTCACAATGAGCCTAAATCCACATACAGACTTACAGTAACCGTTATGTAGCTATTGTAAATAATGATCGATTACTAAACTAAAAATAAACTAAACTGAATAATATTTTAGGTGATTAAATTGTATTTGATTGATGTATTAAAGGGATATTTCACTGAATTCGTATTACACCATCTTCAGATTTTTCCCATCTCTCAAACTCGACACCAACAGACATTTTTGTCAGATTTGAGCCACAGAAACACAAAGATGTCTAAAAGTCCAACCTACAAAGCACAAGAACGCTAACCACCTGCTATTGAAATAACATGGAAGTCAGCGGGACACAGAGATGGACATTATCGTCCCGACTCCTTGAAAAGGTTGCAAATCGGCCACAATTTTCACCTGTCAAAAGACGCATTTAGATTTTAGTGCAGCAGTCTGTAGTTTATCGTGAGTACCTGCTCTTGGACCAGCTTGATTTTACGTTTTCCCCCTCGTAACTCATCGTCCATCCTCTTGTCGTATTGAAGAGACAGTGTGGACAAGCGGTGCGCCTTCAGAACAACAACAGAATAAGTAAATAAAGTCCTCTTGGGAAGTAATTCGACTGCGTACTACGAATGAGCAATTTGCACAGGAAATGGGAAAGTCGTCGTCACATACAGCACGCACAGTTTCATACAGTAAGAATCACATTGAAAACGGCAGCAGGTCATATTTTGCACCACACAAACCAGTGCATCAGAGCTGTTTTTGTAGAGCAGACCAAAGCGTTTCACAGAAGACGAGCTACCTTTTCCTCTCCACCAAGACACTCGGCGTCCGGTCCACTGCGGTGGTCACCTCGCTCCAGAGCGTCCAGCAGATTGGCCGGCCTCCTCTGACTCTCCGACCCCTCACACTCATACTCGAGACAAATTCTGGCCATTCCATTGGCTCCGCTGTGTTCATCTGATCACAAAGAAGCAACAGGAAACAAATCACTCAGAGACAGACTTCGTGACTGTGCTTTCGTCAGCCCTCATGGCGAGGCTCCAGACTTACATATAACTAATATAGACAGAGTAGGAATGGAAACCAATAACATTTTATAGGTACATATGCCACTATTGATGTGAGTCTAAGCACAGCAGAAAGATGCAGCAGAAAAGTGACGCCTCGTGGTTTAACACCTGCAAATCTTTGTTTTGCAATGCTTATCGAGCAGAAAAACAGACTAACATGGATGAAAGTGAATGATAAGCTCTGCTCGATGCATGGCTTTTGTCAGCCTTTCACACTTCTGCAACAGTCTTCTTTTAGGAATCACATAAGCAACCTCTGTGTTCTCCTTTAAAAACCTTTTGCTGATTCATTTTACCACATTTTTCAACTTCGTGACTGCACTGGATTTGCTCTACTTTAAAACTGCATGACTGATTTTGAGGGAAGGCGGTTCGGTGGTGCGGCGTCAGCAGTAATGCGGGCGCTGTACCGGACCGTCGTGGTGAAGAGAGAGCTGAGCCGCAAGGCGAAGCTCTCAATTTACCAGATCCATCTACGTCCCAACCCTCACCTATGGTCACGAGCTTTGGGTCGTGACCGAAAGAACGAGATCACGGATACAAGCGGCCGAAATGAGTTTCCTCCGCAGGGGCTCAGCCTTAGAGACAGGGTGAGGAGCTCAGACATCCGGAGGTAGCTCGGAGTAGAGCCACTGCTCCCTCGCGTCGAAAGGAGCCAGTTGAGGTGGTATGGACATCTGGTTCGGATGCCTCCGGGGAGGCTTCCTCTGGAGGCTTTCCGAACTCGTCCACCTGGGAGGAGACCCCGGGGCAGACCCAGGACCCGCTGGAGAGATCATATCTCTCGGCTGGCCTGGGATCGCCTCGGGATTCCCCAGGCAGAGCTGGAAAGCGTCGCCGGGGGGAGGGAGGTCTGGGACGACCTGCTCCGCCTACTGCCCCCGCGACCCGACCCGGGATAAGCCGAAGAGAATGGATAAATGGATGGATGGATGGATGATTTTGAGGATGATGGATTTTTCTGTTTCTATATCTGGAAGGCATTTTGCAAACTTGTATACAAAGTGTATTAAAAGTTCCCTTTCTCTGTCATATGTTGTAGGATTCAAGGAAGCATTTCAACACTTCCTCTATCCTTCATACTCACTGAGTCTCTTCCTCTTCAGGCTGGGAAGGTGGGCGTCCAGCACCTTGGCCTTCTGGGCGAGCGAGCCTCGGTAAGAGGAGCAGGACGTAGCACCGGATGGCGAAGTCTCTGGTAAACACTCTGTCGCACAAGTCTCTGCTGCAGCTTTCTTCTCTACCACAGGTCTCTGACAAATATGCACATAACCACAAACTGTCAGTACAAAGGGAACAAAGTAAAGTGGATTCAATGAGGAGAGGACCACACAAATAACAGCAGAAAAGACGGGCAAGAATGTAATCCACTACAGAAACTCTGCGCACTACTAAAAATGCAAATTTACATGAGCAAAAAAGGAAGGATGTGGTGGAGCTTCGTGGGAAAGAAAACAACCTGCGAGATGCACCATTTCAGCTAAATGTGAGAAATGAGCTGATTAGCATATTTCAACAGAAGAACTTTCAAATCTGAGGTCTGATGCTGCCGTTGATTACGTTTAAATAAAATGTATATTTCTTTGGTACCAAAATTTAGCACCAAAAGACGTTGACTGAGCTGCAGAGCGTTTCATGTGGACAACGATGAAGCTGTTCAACAAAATGGTGAATGCTGCAACCTACCATTTTCTGTGCAACCCTGAAGAACTGAGACACATCACGGACCACATTCCCAAAGCCGTCATGAAGACGCACGTGAGGCCGGACCCACGACGGAAGCTGAGCCCGGACATCAGCGTTTCTAAACCTGTGTAAAAAATAAATCGCATTACTTTGTTTGCTGAAAATCCTTTTACGGGAGGATGTTCTCTCTGACAGAGATCTGCACTGGAACCCAACAGCTGTCAGAGTTAAACTTAACTAGTGAACTGTTTAAAATCCATCCATCTATCTATCTATCCAGTGGCTACACCTGCTCAGGAGCCTTGTGGGTTGCAGAAGGCTCGATCCTAATCCTGCATTTGTATACTTCAGAAATGCATTTTTATTTCAGATGACATCTGCATCAGCTACATCTGAAACTCTTCCCGATTAGGGGATTATGGATGCCAATGAATGATTTCTGCTCCATGGGAAAAGCAGCTTTCTGTACATGCATCATCATTCACATAAGATATATATGATTTTGTACCACATTAAGCCGTGCTGTCATATAGGCTCACTGCTTGGATCTTTTTGCAAATAACTGACGACAAACTTTGGAGTTTTTGTGGACAGGGCTAACAGGCTTCATAGTATACAGCTATGCCAGCTTTTGTGGTGCTACGAATGAGTCCATGTCACCATTTTGGCATGTCAAAACAGCAAAAATACTGGAACTCTGGCTTATAATACTTAAATTCTACTGATGGTAGAGGACCTCAAACGTTGGTGAAATGTTGAACAAACAGAGTTTTAGTTTTGAAAAGGAAAAACCTTTAAACCACAGGACAGCAAAGTTAGCAAGACCCCTAGAACTGTGGTAAAAAAAAGAAAGAAAAAAAAGGGAAATACACCAGGTCGAATCAACAGGACTTCTCCTGTAAAACACAGATCGTTCCCCTTAAAGAACAGATCACCGGCGGTTCTTGCTTCCCTCTGGAGCTGTCGCAATTAGTAATCGATGACGACGAAAATGCGCTAACACTGATATTTCAAACCCATGCAATTTATTTAATTTTTTTCCCCCTAACATGTTTCAGCTCATTACAATTAATGCTCTTCTTCTATATCAAAGCTCACTGCTGTGTCATGGCCATAGACTGTAAATGAAGACGACGTTACTGTAGTTTTTGTGTAGTGTAATTCTGAGACCCTTGGCAATGCCCGACTGATCAATACTAAGCAAGGAGGCGGTGCGTGAACTGTGATGGCAACCCCCCGTCACTCAAAGCGACCACACCACTAATAATACACAATCATAATACAGTTTATATAAAGGCTGAGTGAGCTACATAAAAAAAACCCTGAAAGTCTCAGCATCACAATCGCTGTAGAGAAAACGCACAGGAGCTACTGGGGAAGATGCATCGCCAGAAATGTGGTCTGTTCATCAGCGGTAAGAACATTCAAATACCTTTTGTCTGCAAAATAAAATGGATTTAAACTAAATGAGTTTTGGGAGGGAAATGAATTGTTTACATTAATCTGTAAAAGGGTTGATGGATTAATCGATTTTCTATCAAGTGTCTAAGAACAAGTAATGATGACAAACAGCTCCGTGACCTCTGATCACACAGAAAGATGGCTCCATAGTCCTCCTTGTGACGAATCACTCTGCCGATGGCCTGGTTCACAGCTCTGAACGCCTGCTGTCTGTACCACTCCTGCCCGGACAAGTACTGCCAACACAAACACATGCAGAGTTATGGTACAACTGAGAAACTAAACACATCATTAAACATCTTTTTTTTTTTTTTTGTGACACTCAGCAATCAGCTTTCCCTCACCTTCAGCCCCGGAGCTTTTTTCCGGCTCATCTCGTCCAAAAACTGCATCTTCAGGACGACTCGAGGGTCCATCTTCGGAGGGAAAGGAAGACCGGTGATGACGACGCCTCGGCCGAAGGTGTCCGCAAAATCCAGACCCTCGCTAGCCTGACACGGGGAGACAAACACAGGAGCGTCTGTGTAACCTTCCACACATTACGAAGGAAACTACAACTCTTTGTCAACACACTTCAAACTGACAATACAGCCACGTTATACCGATGACACAAACACATCACATTTGTCCGTGGACAGATTAGATGGCACACTGTTGCGGTGCCATTTTTAGTTCGATAAAATTGCACTGTTGGTGCAATAGCTGTCATAATAAATGCATAATATATTCGTCAGAGAAGGTCGTGGTGGGAAACATCCCTACGCTTTACATCTGACAGCTCAGTATGACAACTGCTTTCTTATGCTTCCTGAAGTCACACAACATGTCTACCATAAATTCCGGACTATTGAGCGCACCTGAATCTAAGCCGCATCCACTAACTTATAAAAGAAAACAAGTTTTGTACATATACAGGCCGCACTTGTCTGTAAGCTGCAGGTGTCCACATTGTAACATGAGATATTTACACAGAAAGATTTGTTAAACTTTTAATTAAATACGTACCAGTAGCATACACAAATAAATGCTTTTTCCGAACAGTGCCTGTAACACGGCTGGTTAAGAAAATGAAAAACACAGCAGCCTACCAGGAAAAGTCATTGATCGCTATCTTCATCTTCCTCCTGCACTAAAACCACTAAAGTCGTCTTCTTCAGTGTCACAGTTGAACAGCCTCAGAATGACTTCATCACACACTTCCTCAGTCTCTCTTTAGTTGTCGCTCTAAATGTCAATTTGTCTCGAGGCAAATTCATAAAAATCCATAAATTAGCCGCATAATTGTTTAAGCCGCCGTGTTCAAAGCGTGTGAAAAAAGTAGCGGCTTATAGTCCGGAATTTACGGTAAAATATACTACATAGCACGCAAAGTGTTTGCTAGAAACGCCATTAATGGCTACTACACAGGATCTGAATAATGTTGACGAACAGTTTTCTAATCTCAGTATCCCCTCACCTTCCCTCGACAGACGGCAAAGAAGGTCGCCCCTTTGGATTCAGAACCGTTAACTTTGTTGTAATATCCATCGATCACCTGAAAAATGGACAGAGAGAAGGGCTCAGCAGTTTTTAAGGAAACGTTAACCAGCTTGTGAACCATTTAGACACCTGGAAATAGCGAGGCAACATGGAGAGAACAAAGCTACACTCACCTCAGTAAAGGTGCCCTTCCCTTTAGGTTCTACAAACATGGGCTTTACGCTCTCAATACGATCTGCATGTCCATTGGCCTGGTCACACAAACAAATAAATACATGCACTTTATAATAACATTCACTTTCGCAAGAGGGGATCCTGCAGATTTCCTCACTTACTCTCCAGAAGTCCAGCGTTTTTGCCATTAAAGGAAAGGACGGGAAGAACACTAAGAGACCGTGAGGAACCACACGGCTGAGGTTGGCTGAGGAGAGAGGACGACAAGTCACACGTTCATGCAACAAACAAAACAGAGCGGAAGAAAAATCTCATGCGAGGAACAACTGCACATTAGAGTAAGAAGCTCAGAAGCTCAGTGCGTCATTGAACACATGGAAGCTATTGTATAATTTAATCGTGTCCAAACGCACAGTATACAACAGAAGTGAGTAAACCTATGCAATATCATTAAATGGGGGCTTCACGGTGATGTAAAAGGAGTTGCAGCAATATTCAGGAGGTACAGAACAAGCGGTAGTACCACCAATCAGAGCCGCAGGGGCCGTCCTCCTAAACTTGGTGAAAGATGCCTGATAAATTTTGGGAGTGCGCTCTGGTCAGATGACAGTCAACATGCAGATGTAAACCTCCTGGGAGTGTGATGCTGGGAGATGACTGCTTACCAACAGTGTTGCCTAAAGACGCCATATTTTCAGGAACAAACCTGCCACAGAAAGAAATACTATCAGTTTCTATTATAGTTGCATAGTAAAGGAAGCACTGTGAAGACGTAAAGCTCAAGCACAAATGGGCTACGCAGCACAAAAATGACCCAAAGCACACAAGCAAGTCCAACTCTGAATGGCTCAAAATAGAACAAAATTAAGTCCAACTGAATCCAACTGAGCTCCTGTAGCGACTTCATGCTCGAAAACCATCGGGTGTGGCCAAATTAAAACTATTCCGCAGAGAAGAGTGGAGCAAAATTCCTCCATGGTGATGTAAAAGACTGATCACGAGATATGGCAGTCGTTGCTGCCAAGAGTGGACCAACTGGTTCATGACCTTTTCCACAAGGTTTTCCAATTAATGAATCATCATTTGTCTTTTGTGTTTCGTGGGTTATTGCTGTCTAATATTAAATAAACATGAGTTTGATGATCTGGATGATTTTAGTGTGTGAAATACAACTTTAGTTTAGCACTGTATAAATATAGCGACCATCCAGCATCACGAAGGGCTTTAATTCACACTTAGCGCTCCATGTTCTACCACTTTTAACAGGAATGAGGAATTTCAAACTGAATTCATCTTTTTATACCCAAATCTGAGCCACTGAGCTTCTCTGACAAATGAATCAAGCATCACATTCAGCCACTAAAACTCATTTTTCTGTTCAGGAATGCAAGTAAACAACTATAATCTGAAATCTAAGTCAAGAAATAATAATGTTCTTGACTATTTTTATTTTTATTTTTTGTAAAACAGTAAATTTGAAAATGAATGGATAACAATAAGAATTATATTCTAGCATTAAAAATATCATTTTGGTTAAAGAGCTTCTACATACTGGTGCATTAACCATTACAGAAACATAAGAAATGATTTAGGTAATTAGCAATTCTGTTAATTTAGGGCAGTTGTGGCATAAACCTGACACTGGGTGCTGGTCTGATACATTTGTTAAGCTCTGTATATATAATACGAACTAATAACTAATACAATACTAACCTCCGATCAAATGCTGAGCTTAAATGCACTCCGTCAGGGCCTCGATCAATGACGCTAACAAAGATCTGGTCGCGCTCGATCACGTGGCTGTTCTCCAGACGTACTGGGAATTCTCTGGAAAAAAAAAAAACAACAGTAAAGAAATAATAACACACTGGGAACAAGATGACAGAAAGATGAGAAACAAATAATAAATAAAAAAGCAGTGCAGAGAACATGTGTTGAGCTGTGTGATCAGTCAGACTAAATCAGGGTATAAAAGCTAACAAGGCAGCGTGTAGTGAGCGACAGGCAGCGGATGACTTACATCCTCATCTCAGAGGTGAATGAAGACAGAGGGGAGAGGGTGCCACTGGTCAGGATGATGCAGCGAACGCCTTGACTCACGAGATCCTGCATGCTGAATCCAGGAGAGAAGCACCAGTAACTCAGAACGTTCCCTACGGTGTGCAGAGAAACAGATCATTCATTTAAACCAAACAATTAAAACATTAAACCAAAGCAAGACTTTTAACAGGATTCCTCCTCTGGGTCCACGCAGAAAATGTCCATTTTAATCTTGCACGCCAGAGGTTTTTGTTTTTTCTCCAACCAAATTTTATTTATCAATCTGCAAAATTCAACATAATATAGTAAAACGCACAGATTATATTGTTATAGATTCAGGTTTTTTTCTTTTTTTCCCCAAACAACTATTGCCCCGGGTTGCAAGGTGGCTCAGTGGTTTGCACCGTTGCCTCGCAGCTTGAAGATCCCCGGTGAGGACACCCAGGATCTTTCTGCATGGAGTTTGCATGTTCTCCCCGTGCAGCGTGGGTTCTCTCCGGGTTCTCCAGCTTCCTCCCACTGCAAATTTAATTTTTTTCTAGCTTCAGAAATGACACTAGGTCCCGCAGCTAAGAGGAATTTGAGGGAGGTGATGGATTTTTCCGTAGAAGGAGAATACAACGACGAGCAATTAAGGAGGCAAAAGAGATTATGTAATGTAGGTTTTGCATCATTACCTTGTTTCTTTGATGACGACTGAGCCCACACATCACTGCTTTGTTTTTTCATTTGATAGCTGGTGTCTCGGTGGATGTGAACCTGATGCAAGCAAACAGATGTTATCGTATATAATGCTGCAATTATTAGTCCATTCATCGACTGACAGAAACTTAATCAGCAACTACTATGATAACAAATCTATTTTTTCATTCAAAAATCTATTTGAAGATGCCTGACTTGACATTTCATGGACTGAATGAATAACTGATTGAATGAACACACACCTTAAAATGAGTTGTGTTGGCGTGCATCTGCTGCTGTCTGTCTTTCTCTGACGGTTCGCCGCAGAACACAAGCTGAAAGACCACAAAAGAAACGACTGATGCTACAGTTAAGTGACAATTATGTAACTGCTGTTTATGCAATAGGAAAGAGAAAAAAAAAGTGAAATATCAAACTTGCATTACATTTTATGAACAGTTTGTGTGTTTTTTTTAGCAGAAGTTACAAGCTGGAGATATTTCTTAAGATAACTCATTGGTATGTTGGTTATACAGTCGTGACTCGATTATCCGACACTAAATGTAAAACCTTCTTTTATGTCGGATAGCAAGGCTGTCGGATTGTCAAGACGGAGGTTGAGATACAAGGAGGGCTTGATGCTGGAAGGCTCCTTTGTTGTTAATATTTATTGTTCATAGTTGTTATAATAACTAGTGTGTTGTTAGAACACTACGTATCGCTGGATTTCATGCCTAATTGACCAGTACTTGGCTGTTGATGCCAGTTTAGTTAGCGGTCACAGTTGTTTCCACCATCGGTGGTAGCGGCGGCGGGGGAGTGGCAGATACGCTCCACCGTTACCATCCATGTTTACTTCCGTAAACACTGAGCGCGCTCGCTGCGTGTGACGTCGTCGTGTCCTCTTCTGCGCATGCGGGACACTTTTGGGTCGTATGAAGTTCACACAGCAGATCACATACAAGTCGCATTTAACTGGAAATGTGAACGAACTCGCAAACAATCGGATTTCACAAAAAATCCGAATTGAGCATTAAGTCCTGCAGTCTGAACGTAGCCAATCTGTGGGATTGTTCAGTCAGATAATACGCCGTCATCCTGATTGGTGACATAAAATGTCATGTCGGAGTCAGAATCCAAGGCTGTCGGTGTGTTAAGGCTGTTTTTCATGGGTTACGTTCGTTTTTCCTAAAACCTGTCGGATATCAAGGTTTTTGGATTGTTAAGGGTCGAATTATCCAGTTACGATTGTATATTGGTTTCTGTACAAAGACATAAACTACTAAACCTCTCATGTCAAGACTTCAGCGAGCAGCTCACAGTCAATGAGCTGTTTAGCAAGAAATAGTCAACACGCCTTTAAAATGATGAACTTCTACCCTTCTGTAAGGATTAAACAAACCCCATGCATGATTATCAGTGAGCTGTAATGACGTTCCCCAGTGCTTCCACTCATTACCTTACTCAGAAAGATATTCCAAAAAAGCTAAACTATTCATTCAACTTAATCGCATACTGTACCTGTATGATGTCAGCCAATTTCTGTAATCCGCTGGTGTTCAGGAATAAACCAGACTCTGATGGAAAAACATGCAGAATGCAGCTCAGTTTTTTAGTGCTACACATGAATATACATACATTTTTTGCATAGCGGGTTCACTTGTATCTAAATCAAGTAGCAGTGTTGCTGCATTAGCAAAAAAAAAAAAACGTGAAGAAGTCAAGCCATACTGACGTCCGGACAGGTATCCGCTGATCTGCTCCACGGCTTCGTAGATCACCGTCTTGCTGCTGAAGGTCACGTGGGCTTTCTCCAGCAGCTCATAGATGAAGCTGATTGCAGGAGACAAAGCGTCACTTAACTGTGTACAAGTAGATCTCAGGCAGGGTAGACTTTTCTTACAGTTTCATTCAGTTGTTTTGTTGATTCCAACAACAGCTTTGCTCTAGAAGCCACACAGGAAAATGTCACGCTCATCATCCTACAGATGGAGCGAGATACTGGACGACATCGAACTGTTATTCAAATCTATTACAATAAAACTGGAAAAATATTTGATTATATCCCATTTTACATTAAAATCCTTTTTGTTGTTGCTTAGTATAGAGATTTTAAAAAGGCAGGCTAAACTGTGAGAACTGG